TTGTAACAACCTTTTGCGTGTGTTTTTTTTTTTTTTGGGGGGGGTGTTGAGGCTATTGTCAGTGGAAAAACTGGATTCTCTGCTTCGTGAGTAGTGATGACAACTGTAAGCCTATATAAAAAGGCTCTTGGTCTTTGTGAAGAAATACAAATGCTTAATAATAACTTCAACCCTGTCTTCAATTTTTATTCTACATTAGCAATTTATATTTAATCACTGTGTTCAGGCCCAGTGCAGGAATTAGTAACACATTACAGTGCAGCACAAAATGGCGTCGAGGTCGGGGAACGGTGATTTTCAATGCCAGTGTTTCGTGTTATCCAGCAGAAGGTTGCATGTTCAAAACTAGTTCTGCATCTACAGACGTCTACTTACTCCACAAATTGTGAAATCCGTGTATTCAGTATTTCCACACATTGCACTGCGTGCTCTACTCTTCTTCTTCAGTGATCATGTTACGTCAGTGCAGTTTGTATAAATACTGAATTTACAGTTAAAGCAAAGATTCTATCTTACTGGGCAGAATCAAGACATCGGTGAGGTCACAGCATACTTTTAAAAATATAGCTTGGTAAAGAACATTTTCCAACTATAGCCTGCTGTGACTAAGGTTTGTGTAGTGAATACTATGTGAGCAAATACAAAGTGATGTATAGAGTCCTGAAGTTACAATGGTCACAAAACACTGTGCTGTATTTTGTGTACAATATGAAAGGTGTTATTTAAATAATAAATGAATAATAATTTCTTTGTTCATATTGACAAAGCTTTTAAAGAAAGGCTATTAAAGCTTTATTTACACATCAATAAGCTAGTATTTTCAAAATGTCACCAATCACATGACCTTGTGAACTTTGTGACATGCTAGGTGATGACAGGGATGTTGCTTGTTCCAGTGCTCACCACTTTACACCTTACCCAGTGACACCAGACTCATAATAGTGATGGTATAACAGAGGAAAAATGTGATGTGGCTCAACAAACAACAACTCAACTGACGCACTGGAGATAATCCCTCACAGTGATACAATAACACCGAGGTACAAAATGGCAATGACTCTGGGAAGTACCGATCGTGACCCAGACACAATGAACTAGTCTGCCTCTGGTTCACGCAGCAGTCGGGCAGGCCGACTGCTTTTTTTTCCCACTGGAATGTGCTCTGGAGGAATAAAAGCTGCCATTGTCTCTCTCTTCCTTTGACAGCCTTAGTTGGCTCTCACTCCCTCTCTTGGCAGACAGTTACACATATTTACTGTCACAGTGTGTCATCTGCCTTCCTCCTGCCATGAGATGGGAAAATGCTGCTTCTGAATTTGATGAAGTGCATTTTAATAACAGAGAAGAAGATGTCATTTGGGAAGAAGCTGTTCATAAGAAGAAGACTCTGTCTTGAATTGCAACTCTGCTCTGCTAATGGATTTGAAGTTAAACATTCTGTTGTGTACTGTAAAACACTGATGTGAATGTCACATAATCATTATTATTCCCATACTGAGGGATACTGAGAGAACTCTGAAAGGGGAGGGAGAGAGACTATAAACATGAGGAGGGATGAGTGTAATATTATACGTTGCAGGGTTTAACGGCATGTGAGAGGAAGCAAGAGCCTTATAACCATCACATCTGCATTTAGATGCCCCTTATCCAACCAAAACATAAACTTCAGATTGGCCTACACGCCCCACCTACCCCATGGTATCACCTCCAACTTCAAAATCACACAGTTGCTCTCTGCAAAATATGCTGCTCCAAATCATATTAGCCTGCAGTTTATTTGAGTTTATTTGTCTGGCTTGTGGTGAGCAGTTTTTAAAAATCCAACCAGACAGAGCTACTAGCCTCAAGCAGAGATAAGGAGTGGATGAGAGAGGTTTGGCAAGCTCACTTTTTCTAACTCTTGTAGACATGTAAACAGGCTGTGTAAAATCTGTGGCATTCTCCTCAAAGATGATTATGACTTGATGCAGTTTAATGTATGAAAACCAACATAAAATGCCTTACGTCCCTTTCCCACTGCTAAAAAAAAAAACCCATGAAAACTTGTCATGCCTCGGCTGTAATATTCTTCTGTTTTGATGATGGGATGATATTAGAGAGTGCTAACATGTCATGTCTAGATCTCTTTAGGAGCCCTTTAGTAGTGTCCAGCATCCTTCCAATCTTCTTGACTTGGAGAAGTGATGGAGCAGCCGTCCCTCCCAGTGGGACAGTTCCCATCCTAGTTGGTTATATACTGTACGTGCATTATTTAACCAAGGCCCCTCAAGAACATACACATGCAGGGTAGATCTTTGATAATATGAATTTCTAACTTAAGAAGGCAATGAAGCCAATTTGGAGTAGACCTCATGAATGTGCAAACAGTACTAATATATTTTTTGAATAACAACACTCTCTATATAACAGCCCTACTGTATATGAATATACCTTATGTGTGTGTGTGTGTTATTACTCACATCTGGTCCCCACCATGTAAATAACTGATTTTTAGGGTGATGACTTGGTTTATGGTTAGGGTTAGGCAAGTACTGGTTGTGGTGAAGGTTGGAGTAAGTTTTCAGGAAATGAATATAAGTCAATGTAAATTCCCCACAAGGAATGAAAACAAATGTCTGTGTGCGCATGTTCATAGACATTAAAGCATGCATATATCCTCCCATTCACTGCTGCTACATACTCCATTTTGCACTCCTAAGTGCCCCCCATGTCTCAGGAATGTGGGAATGATTGCCTTAATTTTATAAAGCACACAGCTTCCTTTGGTTCAATTTTCACCAACACCATAAAAAGAAGCAGTTGTAAGGTCAGCAAGAACCCATCTGGTTTTGCCATTGCTGCAGCTTTAATGACCAGGTAATAAAAGTTCAATTTGACAGAAATTACAACAGATGTTTGAGGCTATAAGCCTCAGA